CTTCGTTTTAGACCGGTGGGTCTTCGTTTTAGACCACAGGGTCTTAGGTCTTCGGTCTTCGTTTTTGGGTTTTCGTTTTCGACACATCCGTCACAAACCATGGTCTCGCTCTCTGAGCCGAGCGTAAACCAAGCGTTAAACTTGCGATCTATACAGCTCTTCTGGATCGCTTGGCAGTTGTTAATCGACATATGTTAGTTTGAATTGGATGGGTTCCTTCGATTCCTTAAAATTTGAGAAAAATATCAGACTGCCGGTCATTTAGTGAATTTAAAACCTTGACCGGCTGCCGGTAATTTAGCCACAGCGTATCTGTTTACCGTTTGTTAGAACTTTCGCTCCGAAAATTCCGGTGCAAACTTTTGCATATTTAATTTTGTAAGTGACAATGTCGTGCGCGTGTAAATGGTCCTAAGTCACGAGGTAGGACTGTCGTAAGCTTGTCTTATGCGACAAAGTCGTACCGTGTAAATCGGCCATTAGAATAGTTTTTATCTTATTTGCATCTGAATTAGTTTGTGTAAATTAATTCATTGACAGAGCGCAGTCCATTTTGGTCCGAACGAGGCGGCTGAAAGCAGCTAATAAAGTGAACTTTAAAGTAAACTAGAATATAATATTAAGAAATCGGGACTCACCTAACGTCGAAGGGCTGTTAGGACATAAGTTCTCTTCAAGATCTTGTACTGTTTTGCTTCCATCGCTCCCTACTCCAGCCTTCGCTTTACCAATAATTGAGCTGTTTTGTTTGTGGTTATCGTGAATTGCTACTGATCCATCGGCTGAATGATTAGTTAAACTGTTGTTGGAGGTTCTATTTCTGTTATTTTTATTATCAATCGCCAACACCGTCGTTTTGATCTTCTGGTCGGAGTGCTTTACGCTTGAGCTCTCTTGAAGCAAATAAACTTTGTCGCTCGCTTGTATCGAAGAATTTGTTCGCGACGTATTCGTTGACGTTACGTCAGATTCAACAAAATCGTTTTCAATCTTCAAGTTCAGCGTTCCCAGATACTTAATCTCCAGTCTCGAAGTATATGAATATCTAAGAGAGTAGTAAAACATCGCAATGATAGCTAACACCGCGATGAAAAATGTACAAAATATGAACGTTTTTAGCCTGTTTATAAGACTGACCATTCCTTCGTCCACTGAAAGGAAAATTCTTCTTCGGCTGTCTCGGTAACTACGTCTGAAAGTAGTTCTGGGGATCATAAGCGAACGTTTGCTTCATCTAGAACAGTAACATTCAAAAATACGGCCATGATAATGGCAAAGATCTTTAAAATTTCCTCGTTGTGTGGCTGTTGGTGCATGGTATTCAAAAATGTTATTAGTTCTTGCGCACAATCACCAAGACAATGACATGACGCTACCGTGCATTTGTTGCGTTTCAATATAACGAACGAAGTAAGAACAGCTGAAATAGGCTGGGCGGGGGGGAAGTCACTCTGATGGTTTAGATTTTCGTTTATGAACGGTCACGTACTATGAGACCGAAAGACTACACATGCACTATACCAT